CATCCCTTCTTCCTCCTTCTTCCTCCTTCTTCCACCACATCTCGCCATTCATCCCTCCATCCCATCTCGCCATCCATCCATCCCTTCCTCCTCCTTCTTTCTCCTTCTTCCATCACATCTCGCCATCCATCCCTCCATCCCATCTCGCCATCCATCTCTTCTTCCTCCTCCTCCTCCATCCTTCTTTTTTATCCTCCTCCCTCCTTCTTTTCCTTCTTCTTCCTTCTTCTTCTTCTTCCTCCTTCCTCCTCCTCCTTCTTTCTCCTCCTTCTTCTTCTTCTTCTTCTTCTGTTTCTTCTTCTTCTCCTTCTCGTAATTGGAGGTGTCGAGCGAGAATTGTAGGTGCAGATAGGAGTTTGTTAGAGCGTCATGGCTGGTGGGAGCAGGGGAAAGGATGTGATTGATGAGAAGGAAGTCGAAGACAGATGGAATGGGGAGAGCGAAGCAGGAAGAATATTGTCAGCTCGAGCACACCTTCGTCGGGGGTGACTTGTAAAGAACCCACACCGGTCAGCGACCCCTCATTGTTCGTCCCGCAGGATGAAGCGAGGCAAAAGAAGCTGCAGGGCGAAAAAGAGGTATGGAAGCACGTCGAACAAGGGCAGGGGGCTGTGCCGAAGGGCCGGGGAAAGTATTGGCTGAATTGTCGGTTATGCTCGACCATCTGGAGGGGCACACGCACACGAGCAGTCGAGCATTTCATGAAGGTGCTCAAGTCGTGCCCTTTTCGGACGGGGGAGATGTTGCATACGCTGGTGGCCGAAGGGGCGAAGGTGTTGCCGTCAAACAAGAAAACTCGCTACTTGCTGCAGAATTACCGGCAACTGCACAACATCTCGGAGAGGGGGGCAAGCAAAAGTTGGTGATGGTGAAGCGGTAGTTCGTCGTGCTTACGAGTAGCCACAACCGTCGGTTCGCGCAGGGAGGGAGCCGGTCGAGGACACAATGCAGCGGGGAAAGGAAAATGCATCGGAGGAGGCGGTCCGAGAAGAGTGTGATACGACTAGAAGGCCGACTGTTCTGCACCAAACGACCATCAGGAGATGGGTGGACAACGCAACCCAACAGAAATTGGACATTGCATGGGCGGAGGCAATGTTCCGGGCTGGAATTGCGTTCAATTTCCTAAACTTCGACACTACTATGAAACTCCGCGAGGTGTACTTGGAGGTGGCCACCGCAGGACCGAAGGTGAAATTGCCTTCCGTGAAGCACATCTAGACGGTGATGCTCGACTTCATCTTTATGCGTATTCAAAAGCAAGTGCAGCCTCTTACCGCATGTTGGGATGTCACGGGGTGCACTTTCATCACGGACGGGTCGACAGATCGGAGGGAAAGGCCTGTTATGAACTTCTTGGCGACGGGGGAGCAGGGAGTCGTCCTTGTGGCAACGGTGTCGATGGACGGAAAAAAGAAGATCGGGTCAGCGCTGGCCAGACTTTGGGAAAAGATTATGAGGGAGATCGGGCTGCAACGCATCAACGCAATTTGCACAGACAATGTGGAGGTCAACAAGAAGGTCGTGCAAATTTAAGAGTTGCGCACAAACTTGCCGGTTTCACGGATACCTTGGGTTTCGTGCACTGCACACTGTTGCTCCTTGCTGCTCCGGGACATCAGCAAGTTGGATTGGATAAAGGGCACGGTCAAGGGGAACCACACCATTGTGAAGTTCATACGAAACCATCATTGCACGCATAGTCTAATGATGTCGTTAGACGACTCATAGTCGCTGACGCGACCGACGGAGGTGCATTTTGGGTCAGTGTGCATGATGATGGTGCGGTTGTACGATCGGAGGGCGCTATTGAAGCAGATGGTCGAAGGGAGCATGGCCGGCAGATGGAAGGCGATGCGGTGGTCGACGACCAAACTGCTGTCCAAAGCAGATTTTGTGTTCATCACGTTGCGGAGGGAGAGTTGGTGGCCGGAGTTGAAGAAGGTGGTGGAGGTGATGGAGCCGTTGTATAACTTGCTTCGGAGGATGGACAAGGACGGGACTGCACCGTCAAACCTTGTGGAGTACGACAAGCTCATGGAGAGGATGCTGGGGGAGGTTGTACTTACCACGGAGCAGCGAGACACGGTGCTCGAGAAGATGAGGGACCACATGACAAATGCGGCAATCGGTGCACGGCTTGGTCTTTCGTTTGGACCCGCGGTGGAGAGAGCCGAAGTGGTTGTTGGATCGGGACAGCGCACTTATGCAGAATGCACTAAATTATTTACAGTGGCAGATCAGAGGTCCATGGAAATTGGATGCCCACATGAAGATTCTAAGTGATCTCTCACGAAACCCACCGCCCACAACCCCCGGAGGAAGGACCGGAAGATGTGGTAAGAAGATGCTATCTCAAATTGTCACCTCATCTCGTCGTCGGAGTGGTGGGCAACTCATGGGGGTGATGTGACGAAGCTGCAGTCAATTCCAATCAAAGTAATGGGCATGTGGAGCACTGCAGCTCCGACGGAGCGGAATTGGTCTTCGATGGACTTGGTCCACTCGAAGCGGCGGAATAGGTTGAACCCTTCAACCTTGGAGAAGTTGGTGTATATTCATTGGAATATGCAACTTCTGCGGTCGAGGAAGAACGTGAAGGACAACGGTTACATCGATTTGTGGGCGCAGTTCTTCAAGTCTTTGCCGGAGCCGGAGGCGGACGACGGTTCTACTTTGAATGAGCCTGTGGAGGAGAAGGACAAGACGGAGGAGGAGCTGCTGCGGGAACGGGCCTTCACGAAGACACCAAAGGGCCGGATTCCGAAATGCCTCGAACACAAGGACGAGGACGAGGAGCGAACCGACGACAGCGACCTTAACGACGAGGTGTGGAAGGGGAAGACTCCACAGTCGGAGGCGTCCAGCGAAGAGGAGGTTGACGAGTCATCGGACGATGACTTCGAGTTGGGACTCCCACCTCCAATCCCGTGCACCACATATGTCGGGAGGAGGGCAGCCGCAACGCCGTCGAGAACAGCCGCCTGCAACACCTTCTCAATGCCCGAAGAACACCGCAACGCACTACAGCATCCAATCGGATGTTGACCTGCCGCAGATCGACACCGACATGGAGATGGTGCTTCGCGCACATCCAATCGATACGGATGAGGAGGACACTGACCGTGCAAAGGCATGGGCTGATGCGGATCGAGAACGGGTGCAAAGAAAAATGAGGGAGGAGGAGGAGCGACGCGCAGCTATACCGACCCACAAAGAGTTGAAGAAAATGAAGAAGAGGTTTGGAGAGCAAGAATCGCAGCCAGTGGGGGGTGCGGGCCGCTTGGAAGAGGACAAAGAAGACGCGTTGGGCCAGCGAGAGGAGGAGGTAGAACAGGAGACTGGCCAGCCAGCGCAGCAAGAAAAAAACATGGACACGCAAGATAAGGAAGAAGATGATGGCATGGACCAGCGAGAAGGAGAGGATGAACGAGGGTGACAGGGAGGGCGTGGAACAGCAAGAAGAGGACCTGGAGGAGAGTGGTAAGAAGCAGCAACAGGAAATAATGGAGAACAGCGAGGAGGAGGTGGAGACGAATCCACCGACGACCGTGTACAAGCGCCGGAAGCGAACTGCGGAGGCAGCAGGGTGACCTGAGAATTCCCCCAACTTCCCAGCCAACAATGCGGAAGCCCAACACCACAACCTGTGGGTCAGCAGGGTTGGGAGGAAGAGGAAGGTGCCCCGTGAAGATGAATAGGCGAAGCCTAAGCTTCCACGTGGCAGGCCTCAGAAGAACACGACCGTCGGTCCGGCTGCGAAGCCGAAAAAAATAAAACAGCGGTGCAAGCCTCGCAGAAAAATTGTTGACGATGACCCCGAATCCGACAACTACAGCAAGCAGTTGGACGAAGACGAGGGTGACACTTCAGACTGAGTGTGTGTGCAAAGGCTTAGTGTCGTGTGTGTGTGTGTGTGTGTGCCTTTCAAGTGCAGAGAGAGAAAAATAGAGAGAGAGAGAGAGAGTGAATGTGGATCGATATTGGCCATATGCAGTTGATATGTTGCTAAAGAACTCGAAGATTTCCTGCAAGTTGTCAGTCGTCTTCTTCTTCTTCTCGTCAGTGCTCTTCTTCTTGTTCTTCTCGTCAGTCTTCTTCAATCTATGTCAGTCTCAATGTCGCCAACATGCATGCAGCAGACATCACAGCAGCAGGCAACAAACATGCAGAGCCCCCAACACTGCACATATCAGATGATCTGCATTCAGCAGGCAACATGCATGCAGAGCCCCCCCCAGCCACCCACCCCCTCCCTTACCCCCCCCCTACCGCACCTATGTAACCGGTTGAACGCGCCGAACGCGCGTTTACGTTCAAACGCGCGCGTTCATACCCCGCGTGGCCCCGTTCAATCGCGTTCAAACGCGCTGCGCGCCACGTGGCGCGTAAAAAGTGAACGTGACCTCCCACCCCGCATGCGCGCGTCGCGGACTACGGGGTGGCAGCACTCGTTCAAAAAACCCCTAAAGTGAAAAAACCCTCCCCGAAGTACCCCCACCACCACCACCACCTCCGCCACAGGTACGGCGTCACCCCCACCATTGTGTGTGTGTAAATGTATGTGTGTGTGTGTGTGTGTATAAATGCTCCTTTTTTTTTTTCCGGGGGGGTAGGGGAAACCCCCTAAGATGGCTCAGACGGCCCATGCAGGCTGTCTGAGGGGTCCTTGCAACCATGTGGTGCAGACCCCCCCACCAAAATCGAGGCAGGCAGTGTGTATGAAGCAGAGCATGAGCTGGTCGAATATATGCTCAGGATTCAACTTCAGGTTTGTGTTTCAGCAGTTATGGGTTGCTCAAGTAGCTAGGCTGTGTTGGTCGCTGCACGTGAATATCAGGGCTTGGCTGCACTACTCACAAAATGTGCAAAACTATAATGAATCTACTACAGAACATGGAATAATACGCCGCCATATGTTTTGTCTGTTGTGCATGTGCTGAGTAGAGGCCCCACTCCACGTATTCCTAAGAAAAAAAAAAAAGGAGAAAAAAAGAAAAACAAGAAAAAAGAAAAACAAAACAAAAGAATGAATCTTCCACAGAACATGGAATAGTACGCCACCATATGTTTTGTATGTTGTGCATATGCTGAGTAGAGGCCCCACTGCACGTATTCCTAAGAAAAAAGAAAAA